CCAGACACACTAGCTGTTAGCTAGACCCACCAGCCAACCCAGCCCGACGTTTTATTCTTGGCTTTGATTTCCCGATTTTTAATTTTTATTGATTCCCGTGGTTATTTCCGTTTTGTTGGTGCCAGCTTTCAAATCATCCGTCGACTGCCTTGTTACAGGCCAGCTGGCCAGTTTTTTTTAAGTTTTTAACTTTGGGAATTTCTGCTAAATCTCTCGTTTTGACCCGGGCAGCCGAGGTGGTGGCTCACGCGGCCAGCAGCTGCCAGGCGCCCGCCGTGTACGGCCCCGAGTCGGACGCGACGGCCAAGGTGGTGCGCTCCGCGCCTTTCCGCGTGCAGCCGGAGGGCCTGACCCGCCTGCACACCGAGAGCGCCTACTTCTGCGCCAACGAGCGCGTCATGATCTCCACGACGGACAACTTCCGGTTCGACTTCGTGGCCGCTCCCCGCAACCGCGAGGCCATCGTCCTGGAGGTGCGCGCCGGCCAGGGGGCGCGGGTCGCGCTCTCGGACCAGGCGGCGCCCACCGACTGGATGTACCAGGTCGTCATCGGGGATGCCGACAACACCATCTCTTGGATCGGCAGGGGCAAGCACGGTATGTCGAAGCACTGCATAAATCTTTTGTTTCTCGACGTCTCTTCGAGACCTTTGGCACGATCGAGGAGCTGACGCTGACGGGTTTCTCTTTACCAGAGTACTCGGTGCATTTGTCATCGGCAAAGACGCCCAACATCCTGTCGTCCGTCAAGGGCCGCACGTTCTGGGTGTCGTGGGAGCAGAACACGGTCCGCTTCGGTCGCGGCGCCATCGTGGGCAAGGACATCCTCCTCAAGTGGCGCCTCATCAAGAAGATGAAGGTCAACTTCGTGGGCTTCGCTTCGAGTTGGGGCCAGACCGCCGACTTCAGGTAAAGTGAGGGGGAGCGCCGCAGCCTGCCTGTCTGACTCGTCTTTGCGCGTGGGGCGGTTCTAACTCGGCCCGTCTCGTTCCGTCTGCCGCAGGGTGTGGAACTTCAACGACGAGGCGGGCTACTCCCAGGTGCTGCACCTCGACGTGCCGCGCTCGGTCGTGCCCGGCTCGGAGCGCGGCACGCTGCTCGTGGCGGGCGGCATGGCGCTGCCGGGGGCGGGCGTCGGGGCGGGGCACTCCAGGGCGGGCGGCCCGCAGCTGCAGCACACCGAGCAGCAGCAGCAGCAGCAGCAGCAGCAGCAGCAGCAGCAGCAGCAGGACTCGGACATCGGGCTGCAGCAGCCACTGCCTGGCCGGGAGGCCGGCGAGAGCAGCAGGTGAGAAATGCAACGAACGAGCTGCTGTAAAGTTTCGCACGTCTGCGTGGCAGTGTTTCTTGCATTGAGATCGGATTGAAGCGACACGGCGCGCGTTTCCCCCCGAGTAGTAAGCAAGCGAGCAAGGAGAGGTAGAGAGACCCGACTACTCTCGCCAGCGCGGCTGACGTGCACGGAGAGGTATTTGGGGTGGAGCGTGGGAGGCGAGAAGGGGAGCCTTTACTCGGCTTGCGCCGCTTGCGCACACACGCGGCTCTCTGGGTGTGCCTTACACACGACACACGATCCTGACGCCAAGCGCCATCCTCTGCTCACCAGCCTGGCCGCGACGGTGTCGGCTTTCGCGGCGCTCCCCAGTCTGCGCCATCTGCCTTCAAACAGCTCCAGCTCGGCCGAGTACCAGCGTCGCGTCCTCGACTCGCTGCGGCTCCGGTTGCAGGACCTGGTCGCCTTCCTGCACCCGGACGGCTCCTTTGGGGATCACAAGAGCCACGGCAGTCACAGGTGAGTCTGTTTGGCCTGAGGTGGAAACGAGAGAGGCCTCTTGTGGGCGCGACATGACCTCTGGTGGTGCGCGTCGCGAGGTCATGAGGTCAAGCTAAGATTATATTGGAATCAAATATATGTGATTATATGACGCTTCACGGAGTCCGTACGGTTTATATGTGCGCGTATGCAACTTGAATGTGCTGCACGGACTGCGTTTGGATTTTGTTGAGAAGCCTATGTGTTCCGTATGTCTCAATTCCAATCTGCTATATTTTAAGTATACCTAAAGTATACTTTTTACAAAAGTATACCCAAAAGTGTCATTTGGATATACTTATTTCCATGCGGGGTATACTGGACCCGTATGCACACGTGGATTGTACATGTATCGTATACGAGACCCAAAACAAACGAAATTTCACGGGCGCGTCCACTGCGCAGGAGCACGGTGGCGGTGCTGGAGCTGCTCACCGAGGCCCAGGCGTACTTCTCGGTGGACGCGGAGCTGGTCGCGGCCACCAAGCGCTGGGTCCAGTCGCGCCAGGACGCGGACGGAAGCTTCGCGCCGCCGCTCGCCGACCTCCGGGACGGTGCCGAGGACGTGTCGCCCGCCCCCACGGGTTCCACGACCACCACGACGCAGGCCCCCGACGACGCTGCGACCAGCAACGCGTCAACGCCCGCGTCCCTGGAACTAGAGCAGCGCATCGAGACGACGGCGGAGACCCTTGTGACGCTGCTGGAGGTTGGAGTCGAGAACGATGTGAGTCAGCCTCAATTTCGGTTAAGAATTCCCAACGTTTCTATACAACAGGTTTTCAGTTGAAGTTTGTGTGTAAGCTCTGGCAATACCTAACGACTTGCTGACTGTCTTGCAGCGTGACTCTGAGGCCGTGGTTCGCGCACGCTACTTCCTGGAGCGCCACCTGTACGCGCCCCGCGGCCCCGTCGCCCTGGCGGCGCTCTGCCTCGCCCTGGTGCGGTCCCGCTCCGACGTGGCCGGCGCCGCGCTCGCCCGCATGCGCGCAGCCTCCGTCAACCAGGAGGGCGACTTCTCTTGGCCCGTCGAGCAGACTCTGCAGATCGGGGCCTGGCTCGCCGACGACACTCCCCCGCAGGACTCATCCCACCGACGCGAACCTCTGCGCCGTGAGTACCCGTCCGGCGGCACGGCACTCCACGACGACAGCCACCCCGATGAACGTGAACACATGTATGGTCTTTTTTTTCCCCGCAGTGAACGTGGGCGAGTTCCGCGCTTCGCTGTACGCCCTGCTGACTCACTGCTACCGCCGGGACCTGAGCGCGGCGGAGCCAGTGGCGAGGTACCTGTTCTACCGAGCGCACCTGCTCGACATCCACCCCGAGGTGAGCCCCGCGGAGCACGCCACGTCTGGCCCTATCCGAGCGTGTGTACGAGAACAGCTCTAACGCCGTGTCTGTCGTTTGCAGCTCACCTACCTGTCGGTCAAGGCCTTCTCCGCCTTCGGCCAGCTGGCGCGCGACGAGCACCGCGCGCTCACCGTGTCACTCGCCACCTCGGGCATGGAGCTCACCGACACGCTGGAGCTGCGGCCCGGCTCGCCGCCCGCCTCGCTCGTGCTGCCCAGCCTGCCCACCAAGGTGTTCGTGTACGCGACGGGCGCGGGCTGCGCCACGGTGCAGGGCCTGGTGCAGTACTCCACCTACCTGCCGCGCAGCAGCACGCCGCTGCTCGACCTGTGGGCGGGCGTCGAGGGGGAGATCCCGCCGCCCAGGAACTCTCTGGAGGAGCTCGAGGGCAAGCAGCCCATCCTGCGGCTCAAGGCGTGCTTCCGCTGGAAGGGGCAGCGTCCGTCCGGTGTGCTGCGCCTCGACGTGACGCTCTTCTCGGGCTTCGAGCTGCTCGCCATGAACGGCATCTCGGTGGAGGACACGGGCAACGAGACGGACGTGCACCACGGCGCGCGCGGCGACCGCGTGTGGGTCGTGCTCAACGACGTGAGCGCGCGGTGCGCCGTGTGCGTCCACTTCGCCGCGCGCTCGTCGCACGTCATCTCCGGACTGCGGCCCGCCTTCGCGCGCGTGTACCCGTCCGCCCGCTCCGACCTGGCCGCCGAGACCTTCTTCCACACTCACCGCGGGAGCAGCCTGCTGGCCGGCATCACTGAGGACGACATCGTCACGTGGTTCGGAAGATCGGAGGACGCCGGCGAGGTTCAGATGAGCTCCAACTTTAACGGTATCTGCGAGTGCGGCAAAAAGTGCTCGAGCGACGCTCAGCCTTCAGCACCTGCGTCACCGGCACCCTCGCGCTCCAGACCCATCGACGCGGTGACAGTCGCCACGTCGACGGAGGAGAGCGTGACTGCCTCGACAACAACCGCAGAGGAGGTGTCCACCAGCACGGTTGAGACGGACAGCCCCACTACCTCAGCCGCCTCCAGCGCGGTGCCCACAACCATCACCACCACCGCCACCATGACCACGAGCGCCACTTCCACGACATCCACCACCACCACAACTGCAACAACTTCTGCACCCGCTATCCAGCCGCCGGTCGTGGTGTCTGCACTTCCGGATCTTCACTACGAAATCAACCGCCCGCACTCGCAGCAGCCCGAACAGCAGCAGCCGATCCCTGTAGAGCTGCAGCTGCTCCCGGACGCGAAGCCCTCCTCCCCGCCCACGGCCCCGAGGCCGCAGGTGTTGAGCAGGAGCAGGGCGGCCGTGGCGCACCTGACCTCCACCACGATCCGCGCCCCGCTCAGGGACCTGAAGGGCAAGAGCGTCCCGGCGAGCCTGCACCACCACCACGCGGCCCCGCAGCCTCCCGTCGCGCCGCAACCCCAGGCCACGCCACAGCCCCACGCCGCTCCACAAGCCCACCCCGCCCTGTCAGCCCCCGCTGCATTGCCACCTCACCCTGCCCCGCCAACCCACTCGGTCCCGCAACTCCACTCCACACTCCAGCCCCATGCATCACCGCAGTCCCACGTCGCCCAGCAGCCCCACACTGCCACGCAACCTCACGTGTCGCAGCAGCCCCACGCTGCCCAGCAACGTCCCCAACAGCCTCCAGCTGCTCCTCTCCGCGCAGGGCCCGACGCCAAGCCCACCGTGTCGGTTGCGTCCACTCCGCGCACCACATCGACATCACCCTCCCCCTCCACGACGCTAGCCGCCCAGCGCAGAGCCGACACCGCCGGGACGCAGGCGCCGACATCAAAGGCGTCGTCGTCGGTGAACGAGCCTCGCAAAGCCAAGAAGATGGGCAAAGTCGGTAAGAAGGTGGCCGCTGGAGGCGATGGCGCCAAGAAGTCTGAGGGCAAAACGCCGGACATTGCCAGGCAAACGCACTCGGTGGCCATCAACACGCCCGTGCAGGCCAGGGCGGGCCCTGAGATGACGACGGGGGAGCCTCCAGCTCGAGGCCCGCAGGCCCTGGAGCACGGGCAAGGTGCTGGCGCGGGGGTGGCGGCCGCCGAGCACAACCCCCTGTGGGGTCTGCTCAGGGAGGTCGTCGGCCCGGAGGACGGCAACACAGCGGACGCTGAGGTGATGCCGAGCACGATAAGCGAGGAGACTAAAGACGAGGAACAGCAGGACGAGGATGAAGAAAAGTTGTCTTTCGACTGAGGGGAGAAAGGCTGTGGAATTGCAACGCAGCGGTGGAAGTGGAAGTGAGAGGAAAACAGCCATGATTTGAGAATCCAGAACGCATCACTTGATGTTTGAGTGACACTGTCCCCTTTTCCCCCTGATTGCAATATTCTACTTGCCAAATAAAATGGAAACTTTCGCTCAAACTGTAAATGGAATTATTTAGTGTACAGAGAAGATGTTTTTTTAAGCTGCACTGTGAACAACAAATTATTGTTTTATACCATATATGTGTAAATGATAGCAGAAGAGGGAGTCCAGTTAAAATGTTCTGTAATTCAGCACCTTTAACTTAAAACAATTGTACAATACTAAGTTGGTTTCTTGTTTTACGAAAGCTTTAACAAATTGAGTACAATGAACTAGTAGCTATTTGTACACTATTTGAAGATCACATCTCAGATTCTTTGCCTCAACAGACAACCATTAAGTTCTGGTGAACCCCTTTAAATGCCCTAGTCTTTGACAATTTTAGTCATAATTAATCATTTGCCAGCTTTTCATTAAGGGCTGCAGTTCACTTTTATTTGCTCCATATTTTTCAGTTTATCTGGTGGGGTTTTGCATATATTTTCCCAAAAACTTCTGCTGAAAATCCCTACTGTTAAAATTTAGTATTAATGTCAAATATCGCAAAACGTCCTTTTCCCTGCCTGTATGGCATTGGATCATAAGCAATATTCTGCCATTCGCAGATGCATTTAGGGAGATATGATGTGCGTAGTTAATTTAAAATGGTGTGTGAATGTGGAATGAATGTACTGACTTTAAATGTGTTAGTGTTAACCCTCTAAGAATTTTATTTGTTGGTTGTGTCTCTATAATATAATCAAGTTGGTACCACAGAATGCCATCTTGCCTGGACTGAAATGGGTACGTTTGTGATTATGAATAGAAGAAATTTTTAGAATTACCTGGCTTACAGTTAAATGTTGCTTGTTTAATATCTAAAAAAAAAAAGTTATGATAGTAATTTGTCTATTCACAGAAAAAATTCAAGTACTAATCAGGCAAGTTTTAGTACTTGTTGGCGAATTTTGTCAGTATTTTATTGAAGAGATGTTAATTTTGAAGAATTTAAGCGAATCAGAAGCTATCCTGTTTGCATCATAGAATGCCACATTTGTAGGAACATTCGTCTAGTCAATTTTATACCATGTGAGCATTTAAATGTT